AATTCCTTTATTTATCCTTCTTTTCTTTTCTTTCTTTTCTATAACCTACCCTAGGTCTTCCGTATAGAACCATCAAATGAAGTATCCTCGTCCGTTTCCATTAACTACAAAACGCCAACAAAAAATACAAGCGAAGTGGAAAAAGAGAGGAATTAGGTTGTAAATTTGAATGATCCAATTTTATTTGGAAGACAAAGAAGTATGAGAAAGAGGAGTCGCGGGAGAAAAGATGGAATATTCTATCAACTTCACTGTTTTAGTTATTTTCATTTTATTTTAGTGTTTGTTCTTTCTTCGACAGAATCCTGAAAAAAAGAGGGGAAACCCCTTCGGAATTAAATTATGATCTCTGTCCCTTCTTTCATTTCACATAAACATTTCACATAAAATGGAGAGGTGAATTGATGTACTTATTGGATCCGTCGGGACTGACGGGGCTCGAACCCGCAACGTCCGCCTTGACAGGGCGGTGCTCTTGCCTATTGAACTACAATCCCAGGGAAATAAGAAGAGATCTAACAGAAAATTTGGCTTCTTTTTTATTCTCTCTTATCAGGTATTTCTTAAGAACAAGAGGGTTCTACCATTTGATAGTATATTGGCGAATTTTTGGGCCGAGCTGGATTTGAACCAGCGTAGACATATTGTCAACGAATTTACAGTCCGTCCCCATTAACCACTCGGGCATCGACCCAACGCCTAATTAGACGTTCCATAATCAACTTCCTTTCGTCTACCAGGCGGACTTGACAAATACATTTCACTTTTGATAAAATCCTACTCCTATGGTCTTGGTATACCCCTAGAGGGACTTGAACCCTCGTTTTCTCCGTGAAAGAGAGAGGTCGTAACCACTGGACCATAGGGGCACCAATGGACCATAGGGGCCTATGGCCACCTTTAGGAAATCAAAAAGCACTACACAATACAAATACAATAGGGAATAAGGCCTAAGGCCACCTTAACTTAATATAAATCAGCCGAGGGACACCTTTAGAAGATGAATAGGATATGAATCAAACCGAAAAACTCGTTAACTTTTCTGGGG